ACAACAGGCAGATTGGGCGATAGTTGCCAATGTTGTGGATGTCTCCCTTCTTGTACAGTAGTACAGTCCTGCTGGTTTTCCATTGGGATGGAACCTTGCATTCAGACAGGTAGCGTGTGAAGAGCCAAGCCAGTGTATTGATGAGTACTGATGGTAAGTTCTTAAGGTGTTCAAGTCTGACCTTTTATAGAATATAAATTTATTAAATTTTATTTTTATTTATTTGGTTGTTGAGTCACACCTGCGGGTGCTCAGGGATTACTCCTGGCTCTGCACTCAAGGATCACTTCCGGTAGGGCCCAGGGGATATATGGGGTGCTAAGGATTGAACCTGGGAAGGACATGGGCAAGGCAAGCACCTTACCTCCATCTCTTTTAAAATATAATTAGTAATCTCTTTTTCTGTTTGGGAGGTCACACTTAGGGGTACTCAGGGGCCATTCCTGGCTGTGCTCAGAAGTGATCACGTGGTGTTGCTGGGGATTGAACTGGGACCGGATGCATGGAAACAACCACCTTAGCTCCCATGCTACTTCTCTGGCTCATTAATCTCTACTTCTGTTGACATGGTCTTCGATAATAAAGTTGGACATTAGTCTTATTGACTTTACTTAATTTATAAGAAGACACTGATGTTGTGTCTTCTTGACTACTATATTGCCCTTTTCTTATTTCTTTGCGAGTAGAATCTTAATTTGAAATTTTGGGACAGTGATAAGGTTGAGATCTGGCATACTACTAAATATATGGCATAAAATTTCAGTGGGACTTCCAGCACAAAAATGTTTTAAGTTGAACACTCGTTGTTATCTATTTGATTTGAGGAGCTCTTGGGCCACATCAGAGAGGTTCGTTACTGTGCCCACTCGAGCAAATCGATGAACAATGGGAGGACAGTGCTACAGTGCTTGGACCACATCAGGTGGTGGTTGGGGGCTACTCCTGCTTCTGCGTTTAGGGGTTAAACACAGAATGATGGTGCTCAGGGAACCATGTGGTACCAGAGACTGAACCAGGGTTGAGGCAATTGGTACACCTTAATTCTTGCATTTCTCCCCAGCACAAATATTAATGTCTTAAAATTAGAAAAATATTGCCAATGTCAGATAGACTCACAGACAGACCAATGCAATATAGTTGGTAGCCTATACAAGTTCACATATGAACTGATGATGTAAATGACTCAAGAGCATAAAGAGAGCATAAAAAAAAGGAAATTCTCAGGGCTGCTTTTGTCCCAGGGGCCTAGCGAATGCCTGGGGTGCTTGCACGGTGAAAGCCAAGTCCCGGGTTTGAATACTGGCGGGTTAACTGACCTGGGCTGGAAGAAGACCGGTACAGCATTGGGGACGAAGAAGAAGAAGCTCAGGGCTGCTTTTGTCCGAGGGTCTTAGGGGATGCCTGGAGTGCTTGTACGGGAAAGCCAAGTCCCGGGTTTGAATACTGCAAAGAAAGGAAATTCTCTGCAATAACTAGTGCTGGGCAAATTATATACCCATGCAAAAAAAAAAAATTAGAAAAAACAAACTGGAGCACTATCTCACACCACACATATAAGTTAACTCAAAATGGATTAAGGACTTGAATGTTAGACCTGAACTCATAAAATATGTAGAATGTCACTGTCATTGTCCTCCCGTTGTTCATCGATTTGCTCAAGCAGGCCCAGTAATGTCTCCATTGTGACACTTGTTACTGTGTTTGGCATATCAAATATGTCACGGGTAGCTTGCCAGGCTTTGCCGTGCGGGCGAGATACTCTCAGTAGCTTGCCGGGCTCTCCAAGAGGGGTGGAGGAATCGAACCTGGGTCGGCCAGGTCGGCCACGTGCAAGGCAAATATCCTACCCGCTGTGCTATGTAGAATAATAAAAGCAAAATATTGCTTGATACTGATTTTAGGGACACTCACTTCCACTAATAAAGTAAATGAAAACAAAAGTAAACAAGGATGATTGCATCAAAAATCTTTTCGCACAGCAAGAGAAACTCTCATTAAAACAAAGACATCCTGGGGGCTGGAGTGATAGCACAGGGGGTAGGGCATTTGCCTTGCACGCGGCCAACCTAGGTTTGATTCCCAGCATCCCATATGGTCCCCCAGCACCACCAGGTGTAATTCCTGAGTACAGAGCCAGGAGTAACCCCTGTGCATCCCTGGGTGTGACCCCCAAAAAAGAAAAAAAAAGATATCCTAACTAATGGGAGATACTCTTTGCATACCTTACATCTGATAAAGTCCAGAATCAAAGGTCATAAAGGAACTCATAAAACAAAACAAGCAAACCACATCAAAAATAGGGAGAACTGACATTTTCTCAAAGTAGGCCAAAAGGGACATGCAAAAATGCTCATCATCACTTAGTAAGGAAATGCAAATCAAAACAACAATGAGATTGTACCTCATACCTGTGAAAATGGCCCACATCAAAAAGGACTAGAATGAAGCATTGGCAGAGGCATGAAGAAATAGAAATCCTCATTTACTCTTGGTAGAAAATGAATTGGTCAAACACTCAAGGGAAGCGGTGATTTCTCAAAGTACTAACAAGTGGATCTACCTATGATCCAGTCAATTTCATGCCAATTTTAATCACTAATTTAAAACGATATGTGCATACTCATATTCACTGCAGCACAATTTACATTAGCCAAGATCTGGAAACAACCCACTTGTCTGAGGACACATAAATGAATCAAGAAAATGCAGTCTATATGCACAAGGGACCATAATTTAATTATAACAAAAATTAAAATTTGCCTTTTGCTACAAGTAGATGAAGAGGGGTTTTGCTAAGAGAAATATTGGGAAAGAGAATGTCACAAACAAACAAACACTGTCCTCCCGTTGTTCATCGATTTCTGCTTGAGCGGGCCCAGTAACGTCTCCATTTTGAGATTTGTTGTTACTGTGTTTGGCATATCGAATATACACGGGTAGCTTGCCAGGCTTTGCCACGCGGGCAAGATACTCTTGCCCGGCTCCACAGAGGTATCGAACCCGGCTCGTCTGGGCTGACTGCGCGCAAGGGAAACGCCGTACCGCTATGCTATTGCTCCAGCAATAATAATAACTGTCACTGTCCTCTCGTTGTTCATCGATTTGCTCGAGCGGGCCCAGTAAGGTCTCCATTGTGACACTTGTTACTGTGTTTGGCATATCGAATACATCACGGGTAGCTTGCCGGGCTCTCCGCGAGGGGTGGAGGAATCGAACTTGGGTCAGCCATGTCGGCCGCATGCAAGGCAAACGTCCTACCCGCTGTGCTATCGCTCCAGCCCAATAAAATAATAATAATAATAACTTTAAAAATGGAATCATAGGGCTAGAGAGAATACAGAGGGTAGGGCGCTTGGGTTGCAAAAGTGGCCAATTAGAATTCCATCTCCAGCATCCCATCAGAGCCAAGAGGAAACCCTGACAGAGCATGACAGGTGTGACCCAAAAACAAAGAACCGAAAAATAAGAAACATGAATCTTATCAGATCTTATCTCTAGTAATTCTATCAATAGAAAGTCTTATTTTATTTAGCCATATATACGTATTTGTTATTATATTTTTATATATTGTATTCACAGATCACAGATCATCCTTATTCGTCGATTCCCTCGAGCAGGCCCCAGTAACGTCTCCTTCATCCTAGCCCTGAGATTATATTCAAGGCTCTTTAGGAGAATGAGACCCATCATTGTTACTGGTATTTGGCATATTGGGTACGCCACGGGGAGTTTGCCAGACTCTGCCGTGTGGGCAGGCTACATTCGGTAGCCTGCCAGTTTGTCAAAGTAGGAATGAGATGTCATAACAAGATGTCGCGCGGCTGCAAATGCGGCCGCATGGTTCCATGAGCTGTTTTTTTATTATGTATTATATGTATTATTATGTATTATACTATATTGTATTATGTATCATTATATAGCTTTTGTCATTATATAGCTTTATATCTCTCTCCTGCACCAAAGAGCCCCCTAAAGTGTTTTACTCTTTTGCTTGTCTTTTTGGGTCACATCTGGCGATGCTTGCTTACCCCTAGCTGTGGGCTCAGGGATCACTCTTGGTGGTGCTCCAGGGACCAAAGGTGGTGCTTGGGAACTGTACCCAGGTTGGCCACGTGGTAGGCAAACACCTTCCCGGCTACACTGTCGTTCGGGCCCCCCAAATATTTGAGTCTTTATGTTCCCTTTTCCTCCTTCTATGTATTAAGTAAACTTTAAAGGCTGATTTTTTCTTGAACCGGCTGCTCAGCACTGAAACTGACACGCAGGGACCACAAAGTGACCGACCACCAGTTCGGTCAGAATCTCCAGTGGCAAAAAGAGAAGTTGAAAAGGCTCCGTTCGGGGGCTGGAGTGATAGCACAGCGGGTAGGGCTTTTGCCTTGCACGTGGCCAAGCCAAGCCAGGTTCGAATCCCAGCATCCCATATGGTCCCCCAGGAGTAATTCCTGAGTGCAAAGCCAGGAGTAACTAACCCAAAAAGCAAAAAAAAAAAAAAAAAAAAAAAAAAAAAAAAAAGGAGAAAAGGCTCCGTTCAACTTCTTCCCACGAGTTCCCGGGGTCTAAGCTGGCACTCAAGGGCTGAGATGGGTGGTTCTGGTGGTCCAGCCTGACCCCCTCGGTCCGGAGCGGACGAGACGTTAAGCGGCAGGATGTGACTCCCCCCACCCCCACCCCCCGCCCGGAGGTGGTTAACTTGGCAACTGTATCTGCTGTAACTTGGCAACTGTATCTACTGCAGCATCTCCCGCGGGACACGGGAAGCCGCGGGCCCGGCGAGCGGCTCGTCCCCGACCCCGAGCGCCCCGCAGCGCGCCGCCAGCGGCGTGACCCGGAAGTGCTCGGGGGCGGGCGCGGCGGCGGCGGGGGCGCGGCCGAACCCGCGCGCGCGCGCGCACACACACGCACACGCACACACACACGCTCGCGCGCGCGCTCCCCGCGGAACTCCCGCTGGGGCTGGTGCGCGGCCCCGGAGGCGCGTCCGAGTCGCCGAGGCCGCCGCCGCCGCCGCCAACATGGCCGAGACGAGCGAGGAGGTGGCGGTGCTGGTGCAGCGGGTGGTGAAGGACATCACCAACGCCTTCCGCAGGAACCCGCACATGTGAGCGGCGCGTGGGCGCGGGGGTCGGGGTCGGGGTCGGGGGTCGCGGTTGGGGGCGGCCGGGGGCGGGGCCGGGCCGGGCCTCGGGGCGTGGGGGGCGGCTGCCGAGCGCGGTCGCAGAGCCCGACCGAGGCCCGCGGGGCCCGCACGGCGCCCCCGGAACCCGCCGGGGTGGGGGGTGCGGGGTGCGGGGTGCGGGGTGCGGGGTTGGGGGGCCGACACCTCCGAGCGACCTCGCCGGTTCCGAAGGGAGCGCGCCCCGGGCCTCCTTGGAGTTCCCCAAACTCGAAAGTCTCTGCGTTCGGCCCCGAGTGTCCGCAAAGCCCGCACCCCACACCCCGCACCCCGCACCCCCTCCGCCGGGAGGCACCCGGCACCCGGCACGCTCGCGCGGTGGGTGAAACACCACCCCCCACCCCAGCCCGAGGCTGCAACCTGGACGCCGGAGGGAACTGCTGGCTGCCCGGGGCGCGCTCACTCTCCCGTGGGCCGAGAACCCCCCCCCCCCCCACTCCGCTAGCCCGCGGCAGTTTGGGACCTGAGCCTGTCTGACCCCCGGGGAAACATTGTTGCAACATTTGCAACGGTTGTAGCCTCCCCGGGCGCGAGCCCCTCCTGGAAGCTCGACACTTTGTAGCAGCAGCAGTTCGCTGATTGAGTTCCCCGGGATGTCGTCGCTTCTCTGCGCTCGCTTAAGTAGGACACCCAGGAAGAAGGAATCCTCTCTCTCCGCTCTCTCTCTCTCTCTCTCTCTCTCTCTCTCTCTCTCTCTCTCTCTCTCTCTCTCTCTCTCTCTCTCTCCCTCCTTTCCTTTCCTTCTAACTCGGACGCGGGCCGAGCGATGCCCCAAGAGAGTGTTTTCTTTTTGATGCTTCTGCTTGGATATCCTCTAGTGAAAGGGAAGTGTAACTATTCCCCGAGAGGCGTGTGAGCATTACCCGGATACAAAAGAGAGGACCAGAGGATACAGAAGTTGCAAGAATGTAACTTTTCTTATCCCACCCTGCCTTCGGTTCCGCCCTCCACCTCCCCACCCCCCCACCCCCCCAAGAAAAGTAACCTGGCTGGGAAGTTTTGCACGGGGTATCACGCTTTTTGTAGATGGAGTCGATTTGTAATATTTTATTAGGAAAAGTGGAGCATGTGGCTTTTTGTTTGTTTGTTTTGGGGCCATACCTTAATTGCCCAGAGGCTACTTCAAGTTTAGTGCCCGACTTGCACCGTGTGGCACTAGGTTCCAACGTTACAGAATGTGTGTGCCCCAGCCCTTTGAGCTCTCTCTCTCTCTCTCTCTCTCTCTCTCTCTCTCTCTCTCTCTCTCTCTCTTTCTCTGGCCTGGTAGTTATTTTATTTTATATTTAAATATTTAAAACTTATTTTTTTTTGGTTTTGCTTTTGGGTCACACCTGTCAATACCCAGGACTTACTCCTGCCTCGGCACTTAGGAATCACTCCTGGTGGTGCTCAGGGGATGCGGGGATGCTGGGGATTGAACCCCAGACCGCCACATGTGAGGCAAGTGCCTTACTCTGTACTATCTCTCTGGCCCCTGAAGAGTCATTTTAAACAGACAAACCCTTTAAGCTTTTATTCCTTAAAAAAAATTAAAGAAATAAAGGGGGGCCAAACCGACAGCTCCGTGAAGTCTTCTCTTTCCTTGGAGCTGCTGCTTAGAAAAGAATTTCGAAGCCCTCGGATGTCCTGCTCCATGTGGCACACAAAATGGAGACATGAGACTGTGCCTCATTGGAGCAAAAGGCTACTGGCCTCAGAGCAGAGACCCTGTCACCTTTGCCAGTGGCCCCTTCCTTCCCCTTCTGACTGTGGCCTTTTTCAGAATGAAAGTCTTTGGAATGAATCCCCGGCGTAGCCATAGTGGGTACTGGACCTTCTAAGGAATGCTTTGATGCTTTCTTGAATGTCAGTCTTTCAATACCTGTTTGAGAAAGAGAGTTTCAGTGCAAATAAGAGATCCTGAAAAAAAGAAAACTGGCCTATTTTCTCATCCCTGGTGTTTGGGGACCTTTTTGCTTTTGTATTTTTGTGGTACGGGGGCTAAACTCAGGACCCCACATATGAAGTTGTGCTTTCTACTGAGTGCCATCTCCAGCCACGACCCCACTTTTCTCCTTTTTTTGCAGGTTACTGGGGTCAAGCAAGTTTCTTTTTTCTTTTTTTTTTAGGGTTCCGGGAGCTGGTTTTTATAGTCTCTGAGTCTTATTATGACATCTTATTATGACATCTTATTATCTCATTCCTACTTAGACAAGCTGGCAGGCTATCGAATGTAGCCTGCCCACACGGCAGAGTCTGGCAAACTCCCCGTGGCGTACCCAATATGCCAAATACCAGTAACTATGAAGGGTCTCATTCTCCTAAAGAGCCTTGAATATAATCTCAGGGCTAGGATGAAGGAGACATTACTGGGGCCTGCTCAAGGCAATCGACGAATAACAGGATGATTTGTGATTGATTTGTGATTTTTTTAGGGTCACTCTCATACCCAGTGATACTCAGGGGAGTTGCTCCTGGTTCTGTGCTCAGGAATCACTCCTGGTGGTGCTTTGGGGAACCATATGGGTTGCCTAGGATTGAACTGGGTCGGCCGTGCGGAAAGCAAACACTCTACCCGCTGTATTACGGCTCTGGCTCTCAAGCAGGGTCTTAGGTGTTTTACTGCTCAGCCACATCCCCAGCATGTGGTGACCTTTTTCTTAAAAAAGTTTGTGGAGGTCAGATGCCTGATAAATATAGTAATCTTTAGTTTCTCTTCTTTGAGGAAGACTTAGAAAAGCATTAGCATTTTTATATTTGAAGAATCCGAGAGGGAGCGTTCAGTGGCATGACAGGCTGGCGCCAGGCAGGTTTGTAGTGCCTCCCTGTTCTGAATTACATTGATTGAAACCCCCTAAAAGTCTTCAGTGACTTCCTGTCATTGTTTTAGGGTGAAATTCCACCAAAGTGCTCAGGGCACTCAAAAGTACCAGGGTTGGTGTATATCTATAGTGCATAGATACAAACACAAACTATGGGTGCTTGAATGGTGGCTAATGCAAATGAATAAGTTTGTTTCTTTTTGTTGGTGGTGGAGACATTTGAGCTGCATTTCTGGGTGCTCTGCAGACTCTAGGCCTTTGGACTACCTCCCCCGAATCTCTTCCCTAATGGAACTTTAACAAATTCACATATTATAAAAAGGATAATTCACATGAGAAGAATTAAGTTATTTTGAGAAAATAGTAACAGAGAGAGACCTAACTTAATTTAGTGGTTTTTTTTTTTTTTTTGTAAAGAAATAGCCTGGTAGGCCTACTCTGCATGACTAATGATGTTTCTGAAAAGTACACATATGCTGTGTGTTGTCTGAACATGAGGAACAAAGTAACAATGTTATATAAACCTTGACTTTGGCCCAGAGAAGTAAGTCCTTGGACTGGATAACTCAAGTGTCTGCTTGGTGCTCAGGATACTGTATAAAGTGCTGGGTTAGAACTGGGCCTCCCACTTGCAAAGTCTGCTCTTAGCCCAAGTGGTCTCTCCAGCCCTCTAGCTTTTCTTGATTAAGAAATTGATTTTTTTTTTTTTTTTGCTTTTTGGGTCACACCTGGCGATGCACAGGGGTTCCTCCTGGCTCTGCACTCAGGAATCACTCCTGGCAGTGCTCAGGGAACCATATGGGATGCTGGGAATCGAACCTGGGTCAGCTGCATGCAAGGCAAATGCCCTACCAGCTGTGCTATCTCTCCAGCCCCAAGAAATTGATTTTTTAAATTTCAGCTTTGTTTGTCTTTGGACCACATCCTGCAATGCTCGGGGTCACTCCTAACTTTGCACTCAGAAATTGCTCCTATTGGTGCTCACGGGAACCATATGGGATGCCAGAGATTGAACTTGGGTTGGTGGCATGCAAGGCAAATACCTACCCACTGTACTATCGCTCTGGCCCAGCAATTCGAGTTTAAATCACAGAAGTGTAGAAGAAATTCATTTAAACCCTGCTTGCTTTCACTTAAGTCTCTTGTTCAAGGACTTTGGGCTGAGGATGAGGAAGTTGAGACTTTCATCTTAACCGTGAGCAGTGGGCCCCTGTTTCCTTACTTGACCAAGTGAGACCCTTGACAAATTAAGTCCCTTTCTGTTTATTTTTGTCTCACGTTCTGGGCGGACGAGGAGGGAGCTACCCCCGCAGTCCTTTTGGGCTACTCCAGTGACCTAGATTGAACCTGGGCAGCTCTCATGCCCTTTAAGCTGGCTGCCTGACCCAGTTCCCTTCCAATTGAAAAATGGTTCCGGAAAACTGTTCTAAATTGTCTGAAGTGGATTATCACCTAAGGGAAGAGGCCTTGGAGTACAAGCCTAAATTCAAGTCAAGATCTTTAGGAGCTTACTGAAGCTTCCTGTCTTTACGAAGTAAATACACACATACACACATATATTTGGAAGGGTGTACATGGCAGTACTCAAGGGCAACTCCCAAATTATGTGTCAGGATTGCTCCTGGGGGTGGTGAGGGGTGCGGGTGTGTGGGGGGGGAGATGATGAAGTGGGGTGGAGGGCAGGGGGGGATTACCTTGTGGTGCTGATGCTGGGAATTGAGCCCAGGCCTCTTGCATGCAAAGCATGGGCTCATCCACTTGAGTGGATTTGCTGGCCAGAAGTGAATATTGTTAGAAAGTAGCAAAGCACTGTTGTAGGGTCAGTTCATTTGATAGAGGCTTAATGCGTTTTGCTTTAACTTCCAGTTGTTTGGGAAGGGCAGTGAGGGCCTTGCTCACTGCGACCCTGGCAGTGCTCAAGGGTTGCTCCTGGCTCTGCACTCAGGAATCACTCCCAGCAGTGCTCGGGGGACCAGATGGGATGCTGGGGGTTTGAACCCAGCTTGAACTGAGTACAAGGCAATCTTGGAATCTTTTTTCCTTTCTTGTGGTATTTTGGACCATACCCAGCAGTGCTCAGGGGCTGTTCCTGAACCCCTGCTCAGGGGTCGCTTCTCATGATAC